GGGGGGGGGGGGGGCTTTAAAAATTTTTGGTGATCAGTTGGAGTTAAATACGAGTCCGTTAAGCACTGCCGTAAGCATGCTAAAATTTGTGTCGTGGGTCACGCCAGTGCAGCCGTTCGGTTCAGCCCAACGAAATGATCACGTCACAAATGACGTCACACAAAGCAACGGGATGTCATTTTAAGACCGTACAAAATAATTAATAAATAATAATATGGATATCGCAAATTTTTTTCCTTGATTTTTTTAAGGTTAACGGTTTGCTTTATGAGATCTGTTGGGGAGTATCGGAATTTCAAAATAGTTATTAAATGTACATACTGTAATATACGTTCTACAGACCTCATCCCTTCTGACCAGTACACATAATCTCCTAAATCAATACCATCCCCCCCCCCAGAGGCGTAGTGTGGGGAGGGCAGGGGGACAGATGTCCCCGGGCGCCAGCTAGTTAGGGCGCCAAAATGTGCTTTGATATTATTTTAATGATGAAAATAATGGGTTTGAGAGTTGAAAAAAAAGAAAAAGGGGCGCTATAAAATGGGTCTTGTCCCCGGGCTACACCTCGCTGCGCCTCTGCCCCCCCCCCTCCTCGAATTGCGTACGTAATCAATTGGTTGGTGGGAATTATTAAAGGTGGGAATTGAAAATGGGAAAAAAAATCCAGCCCCGCCATCTTCCTGTAAAGGAAAAGTGTGTGTGTGTGTGGGGGGGGGGGGGGGGTTATGAAGCTGTTGCCCTGAAAACAAACTTGCCCATCACCTATTGTATGTAATCTTGAGTGAGGAGATGAGCTAAGGCCAGGCCTGGACACAACATAGGGCCCTACGGCCCGCCAGCACCCACTCTGCGGTCCGCAAAGTAATAATTCTTATTATTTTCTCAATAGCTTTCTTTTGGCCCGCACAAGTCTTGTCCTATTTTCTTTTGGCCCGCACAAGTCTTGTCCTATTTTCTTTTGGCCCGTACACGTTTCTCAACTGTTACGGTCCGCCTGACGTTTTGAGTTGTGCCGGCCTGGGGGTTGTTAAATCTGAGCCAGAATATTAACAACAATCAATAACCACAGCCGGGGCTGATGAATACATAAGAAAGAGATCATATTTCCACGACACATATTACTGCAGTAATGCATCTTCTTGGAACGGTGCTTCTTTTAAAACTGGATGTTTTTGGATTTGGGGAGAAGTTAAGGATTTATTTTACTCAATACCCAGTGACTTTTTTTTACTGTCATCTAAGAATGCCGACAGCTGTGTACAGTTGTGCTTTTCAATTTTTGTGAAACTACTTTGTACCGATACCCTCAAACAAATTTTTTTTTTTTCAATTTCAGTTTTTATTATAGATTTTTTCCCATTTATGTTAAAATATTGTTTATATTTTCCTGCTTGTGTTTGCTATCTTCAAAGTCATAAGTCTGATTTCAATGTGGCCAATTTTCTTTTCACCGGCTCTCCATATTATTTCGTGTAGTAATTTGATTTGCCAATTTGGATTTAACTTTTGACTGTCTACTTAAAAATTGTATTATTTTTTTATAATTATGAAATCTATACTCAACGTACACTATGACTGCAGGAATCGTAATTGGAAAGACTTATGAAAATGTTTATGAAAGAAAATGTTACTTGAGTAATTTAGAAGTGGTTAGAACTACAAAAAAAAAACCTCTTAAATCTAGGTGTAAAAAAGCACAGTGAAGCTTAACTGAAGACATTAGTAAAGCTTAACTGAAGACTTAATAAAGCTTAACCGAAGACATAACAGATCTTAACTTAAGACATAATGCTTAACTGAAGACGTAAAGCTTAACTACAAAAAAAAAAGAAAGAAAAAAAGAAAAAAAAATCACAAAAAAAACCTCTTAAATCTAAGTCCTTAGTGTAATGAAGCACGGTGAAGCTCAACTGAAGACATAATGCTTAACAGAAGACATAATGCTTAACTGAAGACATAAAGCTTAACTAAAGACATTATGCTTCAATGAAGACGTAATGCTGAACCCCACTTTTAAACACTTTTACTTTTGTTACTTAATAGTTTATTGATCAGAAAATGTCACATTTCTTCCAATGTAACTGGCAACATTCTTGCAGCTCAGCCTTGACTGTTGAGAAGCTTTGTTCAGTTCATTTACTTCATAAAGTCTTACAATTTTAGTGACTATAATGAATTTCAAATGTTGTAGTTTTAGAAAATTATTGCAGGGTGATTATCAATGAGTTGTTTTAATTGTCATTAATAAAACATTCCCCAATGATGACCTGTGATGTTTTTAATTGGACAACTGAAGCATAGCATCCCAGCTGATCTTCTGTGATCAAGAAATTCTTGTAGAAACAGAATGTCATACATTTCACATGTTAACTAATGCTGCTGCTTCATCTGAATTGCTTATTCAGGTTGAATGTATTATCTGCATGAAAATGTTAAAAAATATAATAAGTAAAAATTCCTTAGATCAGGTAATGACCATCTACAACCCTAGCTCTCAGGCTCCACACCAGCACATTTCTAGCTACCCGGCCGGGTTTATCAATGAAATAAATATAAAGCATTCTTGATCAAGTATAATGAAAGTTCACTAATAATTTATTAATTTCTGCAACATGTAGGCCCTACATATTTTTCAAACCCATGTCCCATAAATACCAGTATTTGTTTACCCGGTCTCAAACATAGTTGTTGGCCCTGTGAAAAAAAAATGATTGTTTTGCTACCACTTATTTAAATGTTGGCTTATGTGTTCTAAATATATCATTTTCAGTAACCCAATGTCTATTCTCTACAAAAACAGGACAGAAAACAATTGGTATCTTATTTCTACTTGAGACAATTTTATTTCAAAGACACATACAATTATTCTATACTCTTAAAGAAATAATCGACAAATGAAATGTTAATGAATAAATAAAACATGAATGAAAATAAGGAAACATGAGGAAAAAAGTTATGGGAAAACCTGAAAAAAGACGCAACATGACAGACTTCTTCAGCGAACAAACAAGTAATACAAATATAAAATTAAAATAACCACTAAGCTGAAATGTAGTATCAGAGAGGACAGCAAGAGGGACAAAAGTAGCTGATGGGATGAAGGCCACTCCTCATGGCTAGGGGCCGGGATCTATAATATGACATGGTATTGATGACAGATATGTAACATGACAGCAATAAATTCATGAGCAACACACATTTAGAAAAAAAATTTAGAATAATGGCGGTGAATAAATTAAATAAGACTTGAGGATAATTTGACCAGTCAGAAGTAAAGTTGAATTTCTCAAATCATTTAATTATTTAACAAGTTCAGAAGCTTGTGTGAGCTTTGATTTTCACTGGGTAGATTCACTGCATGGGTTCAGCTTTATCTAAGTTCAAAGTGGCGGTTGTCAGTTTTAAAAATCGTGCTCCATCATGCCACGCAGCAATGTGTCTTCTTCAAAACACATTGAACTTAACATAAGCTGGTGTTCAGCAAATCAAAACTGATACAAACCTTTGTGTTTTAACACCCCAAAGTCAATAAAAACTCATACAAACCTTTGTGTTTTCACACCCCCAACAACCACATTTAACTTTATAACATCAAGTGTATAATTTAAAATAACATTTGTTCATAAAATCCAGTTAATTTTAATTAACACATCAAGGTGAATAAAAAAAATCAACCAATTTAAGTTTGAAAAAAAAAATATTACAGATTACAATTTTACTCATCGTTACATGATCTGCTGTTGAGATCATTGGATGTTATTTCTTTCGGTTGGACTTCAGTTGTCTCTTAATTCACTTCAAAAGTTCATTACAAATTTTTATTACAAAAAACACACCAGACATTGCATAGGGTTGAGTTATTAAACTTCACTTCATCTAAAAAATGTTTTCAAAATATTATGTTCAGCATCACAACTACCGCAATACATATAGTAAAAAAATAATTGCCAGATTAGAAACAGTTAAAAAAAATTTTTTTAAAGAATAAAATCATCTGGATTTTAAATTAAAAATGATTGAATACATTCATAAAGAGTATTAGA